CTGCATCCTACTTCAGAAGACATTCAAATCTGCACTTGAAAGGGAATCCTCTGAACTGGCATTCATGCTAAAATTCGACACCCTCCACACCGGACTTAATAAAGACCCCAACTATCTTACACATTACAAAGATAGCTTCCCCAATTATCCCCTCTAATACTATTAACTCACAGACATTTCCCCTTCCCCACCTCTAATATCATTAACTCGCAGGCATTCACCTTCCTTTCTCCCCCCCCCCCCCCCCCCCCCCCATCCCTCCCGCACCAGAAGAGAGAGAAAGAGCTGGAGCCAGAAAGCCCGGGAGGGCGTCTCATGGCACCGCGCACTTCTTTGGGAAACCGTCTGCAACCCGGGCCAGGTCCGCGCGTGGGTGCAGGGAATCGCCCGCAAATGCGAGTCACCCCGAGACACGCCTTTATTTATGTGCAAGGCGCCCCCCCCAGCCTCTGGGGGGCCCTCCTGCCCCCCCCACTTTGAGATTGCCCCAGGGCGCAGGCCGTTGTGTCCTCACTGAATCCCCGATAGAACTGAGACCGAAGCAGCAGGCAGATTCCCCCCCCCTTCCCAACCCCTGCTGTCCCCTGCGGGGTGTTGGGGGGGCTGAATCTTCCCGGGGAAATAAGCCCAGGCAGGTGGAAGTCACAGCAGCCTGCCTGAGCGCCACGGTCATTAGAAGCACCCAGCCACACTTGACTTGCTGCTGGTTTCAGTCTCGGTTGCGGGGACTGGGTCTGCAAGGGCGCAGGGCGGGTTGGGGAAGGAACCAGCTGCCTCGGCAGGAAAAACGGCCTCGCCCTGTTCAGGTCAATGCTACTTGAAAAGGCTCAGCCCAGCAGCAGCCCCCGGCACTCCCCCACTGCCCAGCCTTTCACACAGTCGCGCCCGGGCGAGACCTCCCGACCCAAATACTTCGCGGCACCGCTGCTCTTCTCTGCAAGGTGGCGATTTTAGGCAAGCTCAGGGCAGAGTTCAAGGAAGGGGGCTTTAGGGGAAACCAGAAACGGACTGACTCTCCTGATTTCCCGGTCCAGCGGGATCTGAATCGGGCTGTTTTTGGAAAACATGCCAATCGCCTGCTTTTTGCATGGCCCCTAAAGATCGAAGGCCCATCCTCGCCCATCCCCTTCTGCGTCCCAGTTTTTGTTTCGTTCCAAACATTGTTGGTAGGTCGGATTGTTTTTCTGTCCCAGCGTTTTCTCCCCCTTCGCCCCCAACGCATTTCTCCCTGCCTCCCCGGGTATCTTTCCTCTGGGGAGGCAAACAGCCTTGTGGTGGGGGCAGTAGGATCCTACTCCACAGCCAATAGGTCTGTCGCTCCCATGTTTGCCTCTTCATCTCCTTGTTATTCTGTTTATTCCGGTCTCACTTCGAATTCCGTTGCCTATTGTTCTTCATCGCAGTCACTCATTTCGAGATACCCCTTTCCTATTGGCTTCCCCTGATGCACCCACTGCCAGGACAGATGTTGCTGATCTTTCCTATGTATCTTTCCTAAGCGCAGCCAACCTAATAATCGAGTTTGCTGGAAACATTAGCCGGAGTGTTAAGTTCGAAATTCTTCTTAAATATAGAGCGAGGTCACAGGGGGGGAAAAACCCTCCTGCACATAAATTGGACACAGGAGGGCAGATGTAGACTGAACAGGAAGTGCTGGCCCAAGGCTAAATGAAACAGCTGGTGCTATTGTTCTGGATAGAAACTGCCTTTGCAAACTCCGCACAGCTCAGGCTCCGAAAGCAGCTGTTAGTAATTACAACACATGAAAAGAAGGGCGCAGGATTAGGCAAGTGACGAAAAAGCAATGGTACCCATGGATTTATTGCTCGCTAAGGCGAAGCAACCCCTCTCCGGGCGAGTGGAAAAAGTCAACATGTAACGCTCAGCGCGGACAATTCCTGCGCATTGTCTCCGGGCTGCGCGAGAAGTGGCAAAAGGGACGATCAAACGAATGGGGGACAAGCACCGAGGAGCTAAAACCATCTGGAGCAAAACCAAACTTTCTGAATCTGGAACAGTGCTGGTTTAACGGAAACCCACTTTGGGGGAGCTACTCTGCAGTTGGCTGTACTCGCGCAGGGTCAGTATACGGAAGGAGGTTCCTGCTTTTCACGCTTTTGCTGAATTTTGAGTTAAAAGTCAAGTAAATTTCATGTGTGAAGGAAAAAAAGCGACGAATGTTAAAGGCACAAGTCTTCAAACGTGGGTGCTATGGGAAGGCCCCTAAATCAATGACCCATCCGCAAATCCTAGCTTGGAAGCTATAGGTGCTCAGAGAACTAGGCCCAGATCTGAAGTGTGTGAATGCGGATTTCGGTGCTAACTTGTAACTCCCAAGTTTAAAAATCGCAGAGTAGGATTTTAAAATACTTTGGTTCTGTCCTAAACTTTGGGAAGACAGCTTCTCTGCACAACTTGGCAGAAATACAAAGGAGCAGAAAGAAGGGGAGGACGAAGAGGCACCTCCTCCTCTCTTTACATAAGTAGGAAAGTGAGAAAAGCGAAAACTTTACATTCTTTATGAAAATTCGTCAGCGCTTTCTCATCTAATGAGAGCTGAGAAAAAAGAAACTTTCTGTTTGCAAGGGGTGGAGAATATAAGAAAGGTTAGTCAGAAGGTACAGCATGTGTTTGCCATCTTAGTTCCTGGTATGGAAACCATATGCTTAAATACACCAGCAAACACAGTGAATATAACACTCTTTTTTATTAAATGTGGTTTTATAAAAGCTATTCACCTTCCATCCACGAGTGACTTCCAAAGAGGTCACATATTCCTCACTGCAACTATCAATACATATTTGGGGGTAAATTAGACCCCCGCGGAGACTGTTTGCCCTGCACCCCAATCCCCTGCCCCAGATACATTAAAATAACTGTAATGGGTGATTTTTGCAACCTGTAAAAAGGCGAAACCATCTGTGACTCATTTAGCATCGCTTTAAAGAAGATTTATTTGATTAATTCAGGCAGAATAGGGAGAGACGATAGGGATCCCCCCCCCCCCCCAACCCCCACCGCCAACAGGAGAACAACAAATGGCTAGCGTGGTATTAGACGCGCCGGGGCTGCTGCTCCAATGGGGAGCCAGCGGATGGTTGCCCTGCTAACTCGATGACCTCAGCTCGGGAATGGCTCTAATATCCGACAGGCCCGGTGCCACTGAAGACTAGAAACAGGGCAGGGCTCAGCGCTTGCTCGAGGAGAGCCGCGGCGAGGGGACCAGAACTCCGCCGTGTGCTAATTGGAAAGGTGCCCACCGGGTCTGCAGCCAGCTACTGCGCCCCGCCCGCTTTGCCTAGCAGGTTGCTAAACAGCCCAGTGCCTGAAGGCAAGCAGCGACCTGGCAACCTGGGGAGGGGGCCAATTTTCCACCGTCGAAACAGAGCTTCCTTGTCGCGCCTGGCGGGCTCTGACCGACACGTTACCACCTTTATCTTGCCTGCCACGCGGGAAGTATGGAGCAGATCAAAAGAGAGTGGAAACGGGGAGGATCCAGGGAGGGGAATTCGGCTGCTTTGCCACAGGCTGCGGGGAGGAGCAGGGGGACGAGGGGAGGGGAACAGCCCCCGAAGTTTGCTCTCCCTGATTGGCTGGCCGGTGCCGCGACGGAATCCGCCTGAAGGTTTCCAGCGCGCTCCGCCGGCGCGCACACGTTTTGTTAATCATCCGAATGTGCATCTTGCTACCACACACGGCACCCAGCGGGGCCCAGTGGGCAGACTGGGCCCGGCTCCAAAGCGGAGCCTCTCCTGACATCTGGACGGTTGCTGGGGTTTGCACATGGCAGGCGGGGATGCCATGTGGGCTCCATTTGCACTTTGACACATGCTAAATTACTTACGGCTCTTGGTACGCAGAGGCTCCGAGTGGGCCAGCGACTGGGCTCTGGCCAAATGCCACTGAAGCGAATCGCTGACTTAGCCTGAGGAGCTTGGAAGCGGGTCTCATGCACATTAGACCGAGGCAACGCTGCAGGCTGGTCTGCAGCCCAGGGAGGAACTTTGGAGCTCGCTGGAGTTAAAGGGCATCCTTTTACTGACATCCCCGAGCT